GCACAGAATCGGGGTCATACCCCAGCCCGGCAGGAAGGGGCTGAAACTGGAGCATCGGCCAAAGTGGAACTGTCTGAACTCTCCCAAGGGGCCTTTGCATTTGGTGATCCAAGTCTTCAGTGACTACTCTTGAGAAGTGTGGAGAGAAGGAGGAGAGAGGGCAGTCACTCCCTGGTCCAAGATGTCTCATGACCACAGAGCTGGTCCCTCGGCAAGGCCCCTTTGGTGTGCGAACGCGGTCTCACCATGCACCCTCCATGCTGGGTGGCTATTTTCTTGCCCCTGCCCCTGCAGTGGGTCTCCGTCCAGGCTTGTTGCCAAGATCTTTAGAACCACCATGTTGCAGACTCCCTCTGTGGCAGTTGCCTCCAGAGGTTGTTAAATGCAGATTCCTGGCTGATTCCCAAACCACCTGAATCAGAATATCTGGGGTGGGGACCCAGGACTCTGCCTTTAAAAGTCTCCCGAGTGATTCTTATGCATGGGTTAGGTTGTGTGTTCAACAGGCCTACTTCTCTAGGTTTCCAGCAGAGTCAGAGATGACTGAACCTGAGAATTTCTCTAAATAGCACAACTGGGCATTTTTGTCATAAATCAGTAAGTCCAGAATATGGAGAAAATATCTCTCGGAGTCCAACCGACACCACAGCCTTGCATGTGTCCTGGGAGCCTTTGAAGCTGGGCAGCAGCACACAACCAGAAGGAGAGGGCTTGGCTCCTGGGAGTGATGACAAGGCTTTCAGTTGATTTGCCAACTGGCCTGGGCGGGGGAGCTGGTGCAGCTCCCTTACTGACCAGTCACCAAGCAGCAAGAACATGGAGACCAATCCATGGAGGCTCTCTCACCCTGGAGCCGAAAAGCTGTTAGAAAGTGGTTAGATCAGACGAAGCCAGGGGCCTCTTGATGAGAGACTGATCTGGATAAAAAACCCAAAAGTTCTTACTGAACCAAGAGAGGAAACCCCAGGGGGTACCCATCCATCGCATTATAAAAGATGTATAAAGACATTGTGCTAGATCGCATTATGGCTTTTAGCAATTTGGTATACCTCTTGTAAAAGGCTTATATTCCCCATCCGCTGACATCAGGCTTGCCCACGTGATGGGATTTTGGTTTGGGGTTCATTAACTTGGGGTAACATGTGAGTGGAATTAACAGAAGCCACTTCCTTGCAAAAACGTTAAGATCTGTCATCTGGTTCTACCATCTCTCATTTCTTCCCTTTGTCACAAGACCAGCATATTCCAGATTGAGGCTGCCCCTTAAGTCTGTGTGCCAGAATGAAGATGTAGCCATATGAAAGACACATAACAGAGCAAGAAGTAAATCTTTGTTGCTATAAGACCCCGAGATTTTGGAGTCATTAGTTATCAGGGCATAACCTAGCTAGAGCTGAATGATAAAGAAACAGTCTTTTAGAATTGTACAAACAACATAGCAGTATTGACGAATTTTTAAAGAGAGTTACCCATAATTTATTCACTAGCCGAAAGAGTTTAGACCTCTTTATCAAAACCGAAATGGTCTTGATTTCTACATGTGCCTACATGCGAATGTGCTGAAACAGACCATTGTGCTTCATGTTGCGTCTCCCCCTGCATTTCTTCAGAGAAAGAGCCTGTGGTAGAGGAGCACCAACTCCCCCCGCTAGAGGAGGCCAGAGGAAGGGCCTGTCTGCGGGGCCCATGCCCAGCACAGAGCCGGCTCTTGTCAGGCAGTGGAGTGAATCTGAGAAAAGCCATTTCCTCAGCATCGTTTGACTCTTGGAAAAGTAATGCCAATTAATTTCTTCTACAAACAATCTGTCATGCCTGTTTACTGTCCTGCCAAGGCACAGCTAAATATCAGCCCTGTTCTATGAGCTTTCATTTCCTGAAGTCCTGGTCCCACCATAGACCGTGAACCTGCACACAGTGAGGGAGAATTTACAGGAATTCAGCAGACGACACAGGCGTCAGCTCTGCGCTCCCAGAGCCTTCAGTCTAGTGGGGTATAGAAATAAATACATTTAATATTTTTAAAAAATATATAAAAGAAACACACAGGATACTGTAATAGATTGGAAAGGAAGAGACACTAGGAAAGAATATTTAAAACAATTTTCAAACTGCTGACTGAGAAACATTAGTGAATCATGAACTCTGTTTAGATGTTGATGACCAGATTTTTTAAAAAAAATGAAATAGAACCGAATGGACATGAATAAAACAGAAGACATTAGAGTATGTCACATGTGGTAAGGGTAACTTGTTTCAGGAAATTACTACTTCTGTTGTATATATCCCTATCGTATATTTATGTAGCACCTGATTCATGATATAAAATGTAGTTGTTATAGTAGATAGTGGTAAAAATAAGCTTGAAAAAACTAAGATATGGCCTCAGGAAAGACTGTTCTGAAGAGGAAGACATTACATTGATGACTAATGAATTGGTTGACATTTTTTTTTATTAAGTAATGGAACTTAATACTCATGCTTATATCTATAAAATGAAACAGTAGGGCTTCCCTGGTGACGCAGTGGTTGAGAGTCCGCCTGCCGATGCAGGGGACGTGGGTTTGTGCCCCGATCCGGGAAGATCCCACATGCCGCGGAGCGGCTGGGCCCGTGAGCCATGGCCGCTGAGCCTGCGCGTCCGGAGCCTGTGCTCTGCAACGGGAGAGGCCACAACAGTGAGAGGCCCGCGTACCGCAACAAAACAAAACAACAACAAAAAAAGAAACAACAAAAATCAATGCCAATCTTTTATTAAAGGAATCAAAATTGCTGTGAGTTGCTCTTTTCAAATATTAATTCAATTGTTTTGAATAGAAATACATCTTGAGTTCTAAATGTTAATTAATAGCAGTAGGTCATTAAAAGACCTCTTCAGAACTTATTGGCAATGATACAAATGTGCTACCTAAGTTTCAAAAGTAGTCCTCTTCTTTTCCAGAGCAGCCAACATGGCCTTCAACCAACTCTCATGTAGCAAGGAAGCTGGCATTAAAAACTGCACAGACATTAGAACATAAAGTTTAAACTTAATTCCCACATTTTCTGCTTATTCTCAAAGACTTAATAGAATCATGATCACACAGTCATGAAACACTCCCAGATGATATTGCAGGTCAGTTCTAGGGGACTTCTACAGCTACTGCTGCTGGGCACAGACAACAGAGCTCACCCTGCTTTCCCCAGGCACTGAATCCAGCTCTACCCTCTCCATGGCTGCTTTGAAAGCTAGCTGTCTCCCCACCCTTGTCAGAATGAAGTCTACAAAGTGCTTGCTTCTTTTCACCACTAGCTGCTGAAACAGAATGGCCGAGCTCATCTGGTCAGTGAAGTCTGGGTCCCTTACATATATAGCTGCAAGAGATGCTGAGAAACAAGTTGCTGGATTCTACTTGGGGAGGTGCTGACTCATAAAGTTGGAATCCTCAAGTTTAGTAAGAGTGTTCAAAGGCTTTGAGAATCATCCAAAGAGTATGATGACTGACAAATGACATATGTCCATAGAGCTGGCAGACATTGTGTTTGGCAAGCCCTTCTCACCTTGGCATAATTTCTTTCAATCTTCTTAGTGTCCCTTTCCCATTATGATAACATTCTAGCTTCTTCTAAGATTCTTTGAAATTGGTGAATTCTCACTGGGAGCTGAGAGATGTTTTCCCTCCTTATGACTCTCAATGTCCTAATAAGCTGCTCCCATGGATACTGATGGAGTGTGTAGATTCTGTGAGGTTTGATGAGATGAGAAATTGTTTGAGAACCGCTGCTCTGAGGTGATGAGAGGGAGACGGGTGTGTTAGGGTGGGGGGAGAAGATGGCAGATGGGAAGTGGGACAACCAGGTGCCAAGGCCACAAGGTGGGAACAAGCTTGGTGTCCCCCAGGACAGAGGGAAGGGTAGCGTGGTTGACCATGGAGAGCAGAGTACGGTCCCAGATGTGGTCAGTTCAGTAGACGAGGTGGCCATGAAAAGGAGCTCGGATTTTACTGGAAGTGACATTGCAAGGCTTAAGAAGAGAAGTGATTTTAAGGTTACTGTGTGGAGTGTAGCTTTTAAAAGCTACTTTAGAAGCCTTACTGGTTTCCTCAGGCAGAGCCAGTCTCTCCGTGAATTCAGTGTGTTTTGTTCCCTTAGACAGGTACATCATTTATGCATCTTTCTCTGCCAGTAGACTGAGTTCCTGGAGGGTCCCCTGGGCAGCCTCCAGTCCTGAGCTGCCACCATCACTCTTCTGGGGAGGAAGTGGGATAAAGGGAGAGCCTTCGAAGCCTGTGGTACAGGCTGTCCTTCCAGCTCACAGGGGGCTCTCTGGGGAACGTGTTTGATTTTCTAGTCCTGGTAATATAAGTTCAAATGTTTATGGATTTTTGAAGCTGCGATGAAAGCATGTCTATTCATGCTGGTAGAAATCTATGAGCCTTTTTTAGTTTTAATTTTTTTTACAGAGAGCCCACAGAAAAACCTGGGTTACTTGGTAGGGGAAAGGAATGTAGTGTGAGGATGGAGGTGAAACCTTGAGGCAGGCAAACCTGAACGGAGCTGGACGGCAGAGCTCGGGCTTCCTGAACCGGGAGCCTGAGGCCCTGGCCAGACGAGTGGGGTCGACCAGGCCCCGGGTGTACAGCGAGGCAGAAGTTTGGAGGGAGGCAGAGCCCGGCCGGGAGGCACCGGGCCGAGACCACCCAGACGAGACCGGGCCGGCGCAGGGCAGGGGCGGGAGGGGCGGCGGCGGCGGGCCGGAGTCGGACACCGCGCCGCCGGCCGAGAGGCCCCAGACATTCCACGCCAGCCGCGGGAATGCACTGAGCAGGCGGCGCGCGGCCCCGGACGGGTTCGCTGGGCGGGGCCTACGGCCGAGGGGCGGGACCGAAGGCTGCGGGGCGGGGCCCACGGCCGCGGGACCTTTAAATTGGCCGCCCGGGAGCGGCAGACGGGCCCACGACTGACCCAGCCAGCGAGGGAGCGACGACCCCCCGACGGACACGGGCAGCAGCGCCAAGCCCACGATGCTGCGCCATCTGCCGGGACTGCTCCTGCTGCTCTGGCAGCTGCTGCTGCTGCCACCCCCCGCCGTCCCCGGCCCCCTGGACCGCCCCGGCTTCCTGAAGTTGGGGACCCGCGGCCCAGGGGGCAGCCCCGGACGCCGTCCCGCTCCGGCCGCCCCCACCGGCACGCCCTATTCTGGGGCCGGCCAGCACGGCGGGGCCCGCGGTGCAGGTACACGGCCTGGGCGGGGACGGGAGAGGGACCCCAGGCCGAGAGGGACCTGAGAGGGCCTCAGGGAGGGACACCCTCCAGGAAGGAGGGAGATCCCCGGCCGGGGCCGGGCGGGATGGTTGGGTGGGCAGGGGCATCAGGCGTTGAATGAGGAGGAAGAGCCTCCGTCATCCACCAGGTATTCCCTCCATCCCAGCCGGAGCCAGACTGTGGTGCAGGAGAAAGATCCCCTCCCCGATGAATCTTGTGGGGATACTGAGGTCCAGAGAAGGGAAGAGAGAGATGCCCAAGGTCACTCATAGTCAGGGCTAGACTTTGGGTCTCCTGAAGGTCAAACTCCAGCAACTGCCCCCTGAGATTTGGGCAGAGAGGATGGGGCAGCCGTGGGAACACCAGGCGCCTCTCAGCTCTCTGTCCTAGACCCACCTCTGGTTCAGCTCAGTAAACCTTTCCTGAGATTCTGCTTTTAGTTCTCTGGTTGAGCAAAGCTCCTAGAGCAGCAGAGAGGGAAGATCATCTGACACAGCCCCTGACAGCAAATATAGGGTAACTGAGGCTCGTCAAGGGGAGGGGACCCAGCAAATCAGTGTCAGAGCCCAGAATAAAACTCAGGACTCAGATAACTCAAGCATGGAACTTTCCACTGCTTCAAGCTACCAAGCTGTCAATATGGTTTACATAAGGCTTTATTTTCATTACCAAAAAGTCCAGCATCAGACTTGTTAAAGTCCTGCTTTAAAGAGAGGCTGCATCAAACCATTTTCTGGATGTCCAGCCTCATCTGGCCAGTGATGCTTCATGGCCCAGGTTGACTTGTGTTGTCTACCCCTCCTGCACCTTTCTGGATAATGTTGAGGAAGAGCACAAAGGATTCTTTCCTGCATCAGCTCCAGTGGGCTGGATTTGATATGGCAAGAGCATTGTCATTGAGGCAGGGAGTGCCAGGGTTCACCATGGTTCAATTCAGTTAGTAACCAGTTGGTTGCTCCAGGCCAGGAATGGGGGTAGGGGAGAAGCCTTTCTCCCAGAAGTTAATTTTACCTCTCGTCCTGATCCACCTCCCTTGGGGAAGCATCAGGGAGGGAGAGGAGGGATTCTGCGTGGGGTGGTCAATGTTCCTCCTATGCAGTACTGGTCCTTTATTACCTGAAACCCAAACCAATATTGAATGATAATTCTTTAATAAACACAACATTCCACTCTTTTTCAAATTCACTTCTTTTTGCACCCAGAAACTGCTAAGCTTTGCTATGGGCTTTTATTTCTAGCAGAGCTATCAGAAATGGACAATTATTGTGAGTAAGGAAACATTTTAGGAAATTCAGATTCTCATTTTCTTGGTTTCTGAGAATCAAAGTGCTGTTATCTAGTAAAGGGGAGTGAGATTCAAAAACAATTAATGATAAGGGGGTCTGAATCAGGAAGTAAGCAGATGCTCACAGAATGTCCTGCCATCTGAGTCAAGCCCCCTGTATTTTCTATTCCTGCTGTAATAAATTACCATGAACTTAGTGGCTTAAAACAACACACACTTATTATCTAAGAGTTCTGTGGCTCAGAAGTCTGACACTAGTCTCACTGGACTAAAATTAAGGTGTCGGCAGGGACATGTTCCTTTTGGAAAGATCTTAGAGGAGAATCCGTTTCTTTGCCTTTTTCAGCTTGTAGAGGCCGCCCCCATTCCTTGGCTCGTGGCCGTTTCCCTCCATTTTCAAAGCCGCCAAAGGCAGGATGAGTCCTCACATGTCATCTCTCAAATCTCCTCTTCTGCCTCTCTCTTCCACTCTGGGAGCTGTTGTAATTACATTGGACCCACGAGAATAATCCAGGACAACATCCTCAATCTCAAGCCTTTAACTTAATCACACATGCAAAGTCTCCTTTACCATGTAAATTAACATAATTACAGGTTCTGGGGATTAGGACATGGACATCTTTGGGGGGCATTATTCCTGCCCACCACACCCCTGTGACCTCCCATAGATGATTCCATGTGAAAAATCAAGTGAAGAAGCAAGGAATCCTGCATGTTTACTTACAAGAACATAGCCTCGATATTAGTAAGGACACCACTTGGGTGTTAGTGACAGCATTGTCAGATATGGGTTTGTATCACATGTAGTTTTCCCTTTACTCAAATTATGCAAAAAAGTCCAGATCCAACTCCTGGAAGGATTTTCTTCTTCTTTGCTTTCGATGCATGGTAATTAGGGATGAAATGAAATTCTGGAGGTTTTTTTTTTTAAAGAATTAATTCCTTTTGACCTAGCTAAATACATGACGCACAGCATATTTCAGGCTGGTGGCTCAAAGTCACCAAGCAGGATGTTTACTAGGTACATGAGGTAATGTTAATTTTGGTAGTAGAAAATGTTCCTTCAGAGAGAGGCAACCATGAAATGAAAGGTCCCTTTGGGCTGGGAGTCAGGAAAACTGGAGTGCAATCTACCACTATTTTCTACCACTTTCTAGGTCTTACAGCTTCCTGAGACTCAGTTTTCTCGCCTGTAAAATGGGTATAAAAACAACCTCTGCATCTCTAACTTCACAGGGTTGTTGTGTTGGAATCCTGTGATCCCTCAGTGTTATTGAAAGTAGGATGTTATTTATTGTTTTAGTTAATACCTCTAGGAATCAGGCTAAAACCAAGAGGATACTTTTCAGTTTTTAAAAGAAAACTATACAGATGCATAATTCCTGCTCCAGACTGGGCTTTTTCTGTCATCAACTGCTTAGCCTAGGAATTTATTTTGAATGAATAAATACCTACACCTTTTCCCCCTACACACTGAGTAAATTGCCTTCTTAGAGTTGCATCAATTTCCAGCCCCCTACTAGGAAAGAAAAGAACCCTGAATGACACTTCATGCCCAAGGATCTCATTTCCATTCAGGGCTTGGTGTGTGTATGCATGTGCATGTGCATGTGTGTGTGTGTTGAAAGAAGAGGAATGGCTTCTTTCTTAGCTAGTCCTGACTTTTGGATTTGATTTGGGTGGCTAGGACAGGGAGGAGTATAGAACGAGATTAGAGGAAAAAAGGATAAGAAGGATGTGCTGAAAACAAAAATGTATTGTGTTGCTGCAATGTGCAGGTACTTTTGTGTGGGAACGATGCAAGCTTCTTGAGGGCAGGGAATCTGGCTTATTTGCTTTTGTAGCCCCATGGCTTAATACATGGTAGGCTCTCAAAAAAATATATTTGGTGAATGAAAAAATGAGAGAGAGGTGATTAAGACACTTTGGTGGGGGCAGTAGGACAGATACTAGGTCAAAATCTCTGCTTCTTAAAACAAGACATGCTGACAAAGATGGAAGTCAACAGGGACCAGATTAAGTTGTTATCCTTCTTTCCACTTTCAAACTGTAACTCAGGGCTAGTGGGACCTCAAAGTTCACTAAACGTGAGTGAATGACCAGATGGAGGGAGAATTTAGGGCTACTCTGGAGCAGTTTTCACCGCCTTGGAAGTGGGGTAAAAGAAGGAGGCCAGCACGAGAGCACCAGTGTGCCTTACCTCACACTCTGCCATTGCCCGAGGGGCTCTGAGGCCTGGGCAGGCAGGGGAGGGTGCAGTGAGGGTGCCCTGAGTTCACCTTTCACACGATTCAGGGTCACTGTCCCATTGCCTCTGATGGCCAAGAAGCCCAAGAGAGGTCTGGAATCCATTCATTCCTGGGAGTCTAGAGGAACCTTTGAACAAAACTTTAAGCAGAAGGATACGGTTCCCAGTGAAATTTCAAGACTCAGCCAGCCTGTAGGGGAGATATTTGGGGAAATGTCACACCTGTATGTGAATTCTCACTAGGGAATCCTGAAGGCCTCAGTGCTTTCAACATCCAAAGGGAGGGTGGTCTTGGGGAAGACAGCAGACAGTGGGGTATTTGGGATCAAGGGATGCTGGCCAGAGCTCTCTGGGTGGGAGAACTGACCCCCTTTCTTTCTTGTTTTTTGTTTGTTTGTTTGTTTTGGCCTGGCAGCACGGGCATGTGGGATCTTAGTTCCCGGTCTAGGGATCAACCCTCGCCCCCTGCAGTGGAAGCGTGGAGTCCTAACCACTGGACTGTCAAGGAAGTCCCAGAACTGCCCCATTTCTGACTGTGGTCTGCTCATCGCTTAGTTATGTCTGTTTCTCACACCCTTCTTTGCAGGTGTTTGCAAGAGCATGCCCTTGGACTTGGTGTTTATCATTGATAGTTCTCGTAGTGTACGGCCTCTGGAGTTCACCAAAGTAAAAACCTTTGTCTCGCGGGTAATTGACACTCTGGACATCGGGCCGGCAGACACGCGGGTGGCAGTGGTGAACTACGCCAGCACCGTGAAGATCGAGTTCCATCTCCAGACCCACTCGGATAAGCAGTCCCTGAAACAGGCCGTGGCGCGGATCACACCCTTGTCCACAGGGACCATGTCGGGCCTGGCCATCCAGACAGCGATGGACGAAGCTTTCACAGTGGAGGCAGGAGCTCGGGGACCCGCTTCCAACATCCCTAAGGTGGCCATCATTGTGACAGATGGGCGGCCCCAGGATCAGGTGAATGAAGTGGCGGCTCGGGCCCAGGCGTCCGGTATTGAGCTGTACGCCGTGGGCGTGGACCGGGCAGACATGGAGTCCCTCAGGATGATGGCCAGTGAGCCCCTGGACGAGCACGTTTTCTATGTGGAGACCTATGGGGTCATTGAGAAACTTTCCTCTAGATTCCAGGAAACCTTTTGTGGTAAGTCTTTGCTTCCAACTAGAAAATATGTTATATAGTCAGACATTGTGTATCCAAAAAAAAAGAGATTTATTCTTTTTTGGTGGAAATTTATGGAAAACTTAAATATAAGCAATACTTTTTCATATGTGTGTATTTCTTTTTTTTTTTTTTTTTTTTTGCGGTACGCGGGCCTCTCACCGCTGTGGCCTCTCCCGTCCCGGAGCACAGGCCTTGGACGCGCAGGCCCAGCGGCCACGGCCCACGGGCCCAGCCGCTCCGTGGCATGAGGGATCCTCCCGGACCGGGGCACGAACCCACGTCCCCTGCATCGGCAGGCAGACTCCCAACCACTGTGCCACCAGGGAAGCCCTCTTTTTTTTTAGCAACTTAAACATACTTTGTTGGTTTAGAAATATAGAGCTGCCTTATATATAACTTGGTTTGCTCATAAAAATCTTCGTGTTTGCATTAGAAATGTGAAATTCTGGAAATATCCAGGGTACATGATCCTGCTATTCCCTGATGGGGTCAGAAAAAAATACAAATAAAAATATCTCCAGACACCTCTCTTCTCCCCTCTGCCCACCACATTTTTTCCAGATATTTTCTTTAGTTTTTCCATCTCTAGATTTAACAGGACTCTGCTTGTTTTGGGGCAGAAGACGGGGACTGTGTCTGTCTGTGGAAAGATCAGCTGGCTTATATTCCAGTGTAACTGTCAGTCAGTGTGTACACTTAGTGAGTGCTCCAGTTTTCAGATTCAGCTCGGTGTCTGATTATTCCTTGTGGAGGGAGAGGCTTAGGGACCAGGAAGGTTAGGATTTCAGCTCACTTGTGAGATAGCAAGAAGCAGGGTATTTCTTATTTTAATTTTTTAATTATTCTGTTACTGTTCTTCTCCTTTCTTCCTTTAGGATGGAGCTTAAATCCAAACATGGTGATTTAATTAGAATTTTTAGCATGAATCAGCCAAACCCATGAATATGAATCCATTCAAGGCTCGGGTTTATCTGTAGTCACTGACCAGAATTATGAATTTGTGGGACTCAAACTTTTTAATTTTTACTTTTAAATTTATTTTTGTTTTTCTTTTAAAAATTTCTGTCTTCCTTTGTTTCTTTGTTTCTTTCTTTCTATAGTCATGCTTTATTTTTTATCATTTGGAGATAATCTTTCAAAGCCCTCTGTGGAATTATCTAAGCAGGTGTGGACAAATTTCTAGTTCAGGTGAATTTTAAAATGTAGATACCTTTTGCTATATAATCTATTTCACATTTGTTTTTTCAACATGTGTTTATTGATCACTGATGATACAAAGATAAGGTAGTCCCTCCCTACCATCAAGCAACAGTCTGCAGCTGGGGATGAGACAAACAAGTGAACCAATAATTACAATTGTAAATTTCAAGGAGACTTTATATATAAATGAATGTGAAACTCAGCAATCAACAATTTGTCAGGAAATGAGAGACGAAGTCTCGGTCTGGAGCAAAGTCTGGCCTCATCTCAACCAGACCTGGCCAGGGACCCTTTATCTTTCCTGCCCTAGGACACTGGGTCTTCACAAGCTGTCCTTGGCTTTGGTGGCATTGACTCAGCATTCATTGGTTTCCCAAAAGAAAATAGCTTTCTTTCTCCCAGAAAACCCCCCTGTGTTTGTGGGTGAGAACTTTTCCATAAAGATGCTGGTCTATGGCAAGGCTGGGTCTCAAAGATAGCACCTGGGGTTGGGCTTGAAGGACATAAAGTAACAAGTGGTGAGTGGTCATCTTTTCATTCTGGTACGAAAGATCTGCTTGTTCTGGGGGGAAAATATCCTCTCTATGGAAAAAAGACTGAGAGGTAGCTGTTGTAGTCAACGAGCTGGAAAGATTATTCCATGAGAAGGCCCTCCTTGGGAAAATATTAACCTGTCCTGTTGCCAAAATAGTGGAGGCTGGGTGACCTGCCACAGGGGTGCCAGCCTCCTGCAACAGGCCTCCTTGGTTTCTCAGAAATGATTAAATTCATTGATTCTTTTATCAAAGCATGTCACTGGGGGAAAAAAATCTGAGGTTAAAAATGGCTCCAGGAGCAAAAAGATGAGGATGCACTTTAGCTAATGTAATCTAATTTGTTGTTTTCTTCCTTTTCTTTTTACTGGTTTGTGTATAGCATGTAAGTTTATTCTCCTGGCAGATATGAGAGTCGCATGCGTATACATTTGGGCTTAGGAACCCATGCCGCATATTCGGGAGGCAGTTACCTACGTTGCCCTCCACCATTTGCAATTTCAAACATGTATTGCTGCCCAAGAGTGAGTGGGTCCCAGGCCTAGAGGAAAGCCTGGGTGTGAATTCTGTTTGGACACAAACTATAGAACCCTTGGAAACTGGGTTCTGGTGGCAGTGGGACCGCTAGCTCATAGAACTTCAGGAAGTACATTACTGTTCCCTTCTTTCTGTCGGGAAGCAAAAGTCTTTTTTTCTGGCTAGGTGGATACATTGAATAAAATCTCGAATTGCCTGATTCATGTAAAGTGTTTGGCTTCAGCTCCAAATTCAAAATTCCCTTTCTTTTTTGAGAAAGTCAACCACAAGATTTATGATTTTAAATTAGTTACAATTTAAACATTACTGAGAGTGGTATTTATGATAAACCAGGGGCAGGAAACAAGTAGCCAATTTTTAGAGTGAACTAAAGATAGAATCAGAGAGGAACCTGGAGAGTGATGTTGTTTTGACACAGGAGGAAGTATCTGAAATGCTTCTTACCTGTCGGCGCTGACTGTTGTAAATTTCCTTTGCACAGCTCTGGACCCATGCGCGCTGGGCACACACCAGTGCCAGCATGTGTGTGTCAGTGACGGGGAAGGCAAGCACCACTGTGAGTGCAGCCAAGGATATTCCTTGAATGCCGATAAGAAGACGTGTTCAGGTGAGGCTGCTTAAGGGGTGGTGGCTGATGGAAACTTATCTGGGGACTCACCCCAGGCTTTGGACTGGCATTACGCTTTTCTCCTAACTGCCCTGTGATGGATTTACTGTTATCAATGACTTTTCTTGAAAAGGAACATGAGAAGAAAAGTGAGGTAATACCTAAAACAGTATGTAATACTATAAGTAATGTAACAGTATAAGTACCTATTACAGTACTTATTACTAGGTTTAGAGAGAAGGGTTAGTAGGGAAAAGGGCTAGTGAGGAAGGGGGCCAAAACTCTTCGTCCTTTTGAGGTTTTGGATTTTTTTTTCCTGGGTTTTATTTCATTAAATACAAGCTCCTCTTACCTGTCTGTGACCGTAGAAGATTCATGGAATCTAGAAGTGGAAGAAAATCTAGGGAGGTTCTCACTCATCTGCTCTATGAATACTCACGTACAATCAATGAAGAGTGGGAATTAGGTCCAATTTGTTAAATCCTAGAAAAAAGTTTTAGAGAGGAAGAAAACTTAGAGATCATTTAATTCAACCTGCTCATTTAATAGAAAATGAAACTGAGACCTCCACAAGAAGGGAGAAGACTTACCTACCCATGTCATGGGGTCTGTTAGTGAAAGAGTCAAGACGAAGTGGGTTCCCACCCAGTCCAGCAGGCATCCTCTCGTGCCAAGCTGTCCCATTTCATTAGCAGTGTGTGTGTGTGTGTGTGTGTGTGTGTGTGTGTGTGTGGTGTGGCCCGTCGTTATTTATTTGCCATGCTTTCCATGTGTTGACATTTGTCCTGATCATCTTTTGATAGTTATTAATAAGTGTGCTCTTAACACTCACGGCTGTGAACACATCTGTGTGAACGACAGAACTGGCTCTTATCACTGTGAGTGCTATGAAGGTTATACCTTAAATGAAGACAGGAAAACGTGTTCGGGTAAGTGGGGGCAGAGGCTTTACTGTTGCCTCCCTGTTTACCTATCTCCCTAGTCAGTGTTTGGCGGGGGTCACATCCACAGGGAGCTCGGTCTCTTTTCCTCTCTTGCCATCTTGGGCTTTTCCCCTTTCTTATTAGAAAAGTTATAAATGGCAGCATGTGTGTCTCATGACCCACATGTGTGAGTGTGTTATTTCCTTCAGTGTACCCAGCCCTAAGAGTCCTTTCCAGAATCTAAAGACAATTTAGTATGTGAAAATCAAATAACAGCCCACAAGGAACTTACTACTTACAGAAAGAAAAGCAGTCATTCCATAGTGGAGAAACCTGGCAGACACCACTTCAACCAAGACATCAGGGTTAACATCACCAGCAATAACACACAGTAACGTCATGCATCTCCTGACATGATGTTCTGAGGGCACAATAGCACTTCTGTGGTATTCTTGCTAAAAATTCAGAATCATGAGGAAACCTCAGACAAACCCAAATTGAGAGACATTCTACAAACTAATTTTTCAGTAATTTTCAAAAGTGTCACAGTCATGAAAGGCAAAGACAGACTAAAGAAATGTCCCAGATTGGCGGAAACTAAGGAGATGTGACAACTTAATGCAATGTGTGATCCTGGATTGGATCCTGGACCAGAAAAAGGACATTAGTGGTGGAACCATTGGCAAAATTTGAATAAGGTCTGTAGGTTAGTTAATGGCATTGTATCAGTATTAGTTTCCTGGTTTTGGTAATTACACTGTGCTTATATAGGATGTTAACATTTGGGGAAACGGGGTGAAGTACTGGATTTTTTTCACTATTTTTGAAACTTTTTTATAAGCCTGAAGTGATTTCAAAACAGAAAGCTCAAAGATAAAAATAAAAGTTAAAAAATATCATGTCAGTACAGAGAAAAATACATTGAGTAGCAATTTGGGTCTTGAGTTCTGATGCTGATCTGAGTCATTTGGTCTACTTTGGACTCAGTTTCCTCATTTATTACAGGAGAGGGTCGAGCTACAGTTTCTTCAAACTCTAATTCTATGTCTTTCTGATTCTAGTATAATTCATCCCACAGCTGTTAGAATCCCTCTGATTCAGCATAAATACAACAAATCTAAAAGGAACGCTTTAGAAAGTATTCATGAGATACTTCGATTATAAGAGCTCAGTATAGGGCTTCCCTGGTGGCGCAGTGGTTGAGAGTCCACCTCCCGATGCAGGGGACACGGGTCCGTGCCCCGGTCTGGGAAGATCCCACATGCCGCGGAGCGGCTGGGCCCGTGAGCCATGGCCGCTGAGCCTGCGCGTCCGGAGCCTGTGCCCCGAAAGGGGAGAGGCAAAAAAAGTGCGGGGCCCGGGTACCGAAAAAAAAAAAAAAAAAGCTCAGTATAGATGATTCTGAAAAGGGGTGGGGAAAAATAGAAGCATAAGTATTGTGTGTGTAGGAGTTTGTTTTACTCAGCTAATTCCTAGGTGAGAACAGATATTACTGATGACTTTGAGTGGTTTCTAATAAGTTTGCCTCTCTGCATTGCTAGCTGCAAATAAGAAGATTTCTATATATGGCTGATAAAAGACTTTTCCACGTTTAACATCTTTTCTTCTGGACTTCTGTTGGGCAGCTCAAGATCAGTGTGCTTTGGGCACACACGACTGTCAGCACATTTGTGTGAATGACAGAGCTGGGTCTCATCACTGTGAATGCTACGAGGGCTACACTCTGAATGAAGATAAAAAAACGTGTTCAGGTAAGGTCCACTCAGTAAATTCTTTCATCCGGGGCTCTTTCTACTGCAGTGAAACCAACTTGCATTTCACCAAGAGAGAGATTCTTAAAGGTAATGTAAGGAATCGGGCTTCAGACATTCTACCATGCTTTTCAGACCAAGGTAAACATTGCTCAGGAGGCAGTGAGCTCACTAGGTTTTGCAAACATAGCTCACTTCAGAAAATTACTGGGTAATGGGTAGGGAGTGGGGGATATAAGAAAAGCTAATTGAATGTACGGTCCTAATCCAGGAAAATTTTATAGCTCTGTAAAGCAAATAGGAAACTTTAGAGGAAGTCAGCTGGACAGTAAGTATTTGGTGTGATAGGCTGAACTGATCTTTTTCCAATTAAAACTTGGCCTGGAACTTTTCTGTAGCGTTAATCTTAAAGCCAGATCGTTTTAGTAAAGGAGGCTTTGTAAATGACTGAATTAGACCCACACAGATCTTCCAGTAAGTGTGAAGCAAGTCCCTCCCTGACAGTTTCTAGATGATCAGTCTTGGGTGAATGTGAGACTTATAACTTGGCGAGGAAGCCCGTGCCGGAACTGCTAATCCTCATTAATTTGATTTAAACTCACTGACAGAACAGAGTGGCATTTGTAATGTAAAACCACTCCTAAGAGAAATTCCTAGCTCTCAGGGTGGTGTTTAGTTTTGGCATAGTCAATATTTTTTTAGATTTTATGTATGCTTTCCTCTTCCTTGAGATGTAATGTGTGACCTTTTCAAGAGAGATTAAAGGAAGTGGCATATAACTAATTCCCCTTTTTTTAAAAAAATGAGATCAATAAAAGAGTTCTGAGCACCTATTTTGTTCCCAGGACTCTGCTAAGCACTGTGGGGATGTAAGGAAGTGTCAGCTTCTGCCTCTGAGCTACGTACAGGCTGGGTGCAAGGAGAAACAGCACCTTAAGAAAGCAGGGACTCTTAGCCAGGGAGAGGGACCGACAGTGACTAAGGGCGGGAGGGGCTGGGAGGCAGGAGGTCTGGGATGGACACAGAGGGCTGGGACTGGAGGTGGGCCTCGGCAGGAGGGCGGATAAGGCTTAGATGAAGGAGTGGAGAGGGCAAGGGCAAGGGGAGTGGCTTGCACTGGTTTGTTTAGGGGGTGGGACTAAGTCAGTTGGATGGAAAGGAGTCAAGGCTGCACTTCTCAAACAGTTACAAGTATCCCTCTTGGTACTTTAAGCAGGACCTTTAATCTGAAGACCTGGGAAAAGGAAACAAAAACACATTTACATGTAAACTAACATATTATGGCATAAAATGGACCATTTTATTAAAAAAAGAAATCAAAGGAGATTTTCAGTTAAGGCAGACTACTCCAGGCAACACTTCCAGATAACGGTTTGCCAACATTCTTCAGTGCCTACTGGGTACCATGCACGGTTCTAGGCATTTTAGGCACAGTCACACATTTACTGCTCACAGCAACTTTACTCACAGCAACTTTACAAGGAAACTGAGGCACAGACAAAGTAACTTGCCTATGGTCACTTGCCTAGTGAGTAGCAGAGCCAGGATCTGAACCCAGGCACTTGCTCTGGTGGTTACATATGCTCTCAAACACTAAGCTACACGTCTCATGGTGCAAAGCACAGGACGGCAAAAGGAGATAGAAGAAAAAGACGAGATGGTGAGAAGCTGGTATTTATATATTTTACAGCAATAATGGATGCCATTCTAAAACTGGGTCAGATCCCCTCTAATGGCCTGCCTTCCCCTTGCTGGGCAGTGGCAAGGCCTGTAAATTACATGTGGAGCCCCAGATCACGGATCAGGGGCTGGAGGCACATCCACTTGTTATCGCTAGAGTCGCTGCTAAGCTGGGCTGAGGGGAAAACAAAATGTTCTGCTAGTAGGCATTTTGCTGGAAACATCTGAATTGTAGTAGTGAAGGGGAATATCAGTGTGAAAGTTGGAAAGACACTATGGATAGATTACCTAGGGCCTTACGCTTCATGAACAGCTGTTTTATAGGCAATAGTGAGCCATGGAAGGCTTGTGAGCATAAAATGACACTTAAGAGGAGAGTTAGAGGAGAACAAATAAAGTAGTTTGGCTTCTGCAGTGGCCGAGGAAGAATCTATGTATCCCAGGAAGCCCTTGTTCCTTGTAATGTATTTACTTGTGACAGACACAAATACTTCCCTATCCAGTCATACACACCATCACCATCGTCATCATCATCATTGTTATTATTTTTTCTCTCTCTCTCTCTGTGTGTGTGTGTGTGTGTGTGTGTGTGTGTGTGTGCAGGCCAGTGTTTTCTGTCCCACTTTAAGCATCAAGGGCAGGCCTTTGGTCAACATAGTTTTTGTGCAGCATCAAATGTAACTCCATGTGCAGGTAGGTCCCTAATAATTTATTTTTGGTGATGGTGAAGATGATCTGTGTATAGCTGGAGAGGTTGGAGGCATTCATGGTCATCAGGAAAGGCTGGAGATAAGTTCTGGAATAGAATCAAGACTCAGTGCAGCCCCAGGACTGCAGATAGCAAAAAAGAGAAGGCACTGAGATAGCTGCAAGAGATAACAAGGAACAAGGAACAAGGAACAAGGAAAGGGTTGTGGGATAGGGAACGGGAAAAGAGGCTCTCTCCTTCTGAAACATGGGAGACGCATTGCTGACGACTGTAGGATTCATTTGCTGCACTTGTTGGCACCAAACGAAAGCTTCTTTCTCCCGGAAGTCTGTGTTTAGTTTCCAGTTGTAATTTGTGAATATTCTCTTTCCTGACCCATTCCTGGTCAGTTCATAACCAGTGTGCACTGGGCTCTCATGGGTGCCAGCACATCTGTGTGAATGACGGGGCCGCATCTTACCACTGCGATTGTTATACTGGCTACACCTTGAATGAAGACAAGAAGACATGTTCAGGTAAAGACTGTCCCTTTAAGCCTAATTCATGTGCTAGGACAGTCTTAGGAGTGAGCTTTCCTGTCTCCAAGTCTGAAGCATGCTTCTGAGTCTTGCTCCTTGGTCAGAATTCTCCAGTGGTTCCCAAACGTCATCACAATGCAATAATTCTACCTTTCCACCAGGCATCCTACCCTCCATGGTCTGATTCCATTTTTTTTTCCTAATTAAAGTCTCTCCCTAAGTCCAGGTTCTTTTTTAATTACAGTAAAATATACATGACATAAAATCTAGCATGTTAACCATTTTAAGTGTAGTCCAGTGGTGTTAAGTACCTTCACATTGTTGTGTAACCATGCACTGTTCATCTCCAGAACTTTTTTTTATCATCCCAAGCTAAAGCTCTGTACCCATTGAACAAAAACTCCCCATTCCACTCTCCCTACCCATGGTAACCACTCTTTTTCATCTTGTCACTACATTTGGCCCCAGATTCACTCCTTCTCTCCAAGACCTGTGATCCAGCCACATGGACTGTTTGATATTCCTGGAGCATGCCCTGTACTCACCTGTCTCCATCCTTTACTGTAATCTGCTTCCCTTGCCTCTTCTGCTTCTCAAAATCCAAGAACCACATCCTTGCCAACGTTTGGTTTTGTTGGATTAAACTTTTGTCAGTCTGGTAGATGTAAAGAAGTATCTCCCTGTAGTCTTGCTTTTCCCCGTTTCCTGGTTACTAAAGAGGCTAAGCTTCTCTTCTTATATTTATTTGTCATTTCAGTCTCTTATCTGGAAAAGCTATTTATGCCTTTATTTTTCTATTGGGTTATTTATATTTTTCTTACTTATCATAACAACTCTTCACATGTCTGGATATAAATTCGTTGTTGTTTTTATGTGTTGCAAATACCTTCTCCTAGATTGTATTTATATTTCCACTTCTTAAATGATGTCTCTGCAACAGCATTCGTTATGTTTTAATTCTTAAGTTGTGCAGTGGGTTTATCATGCATTCGCTTTTATGCATTATGAGGCATTTGTCTTTATTATGCATCATAACTTACATCAATGTCCTATAAATTACTTTTTGTGAATCAAATGTTACAAAATAATGTCTGTTTGTTTAATTTCCAGGACTAGTTCAGTTTTTACCCCCTCTACCAGAATTCCCCTTATTCTTCCATTGAACTGTGTCCTCTTTTTCAGCACTGGATGCCTTGTGTTGAGGTTACTTGTGTGTTCCTTCAATCCTTCCTTCATCCAATCAATAAATACAGCGTCTGCTATGTTCTAGGCACTAGGTATACAATCATGAACAAAACAGGTGTGGTCTTTGGTAACAGTCTAGAGGGAAAAGACAAGTACATAACACATTTATAAATTAAGAGCAGTGATGGAAGAGAACAGAATGGGAGTTGGGGACCCTATTTCAGGTTGGGAGGGTCTCTCTGAGGAAGTGGCATTTGAATGCTGAGGATCAGCGGCAGGTAGGTTGAGACTGGAATGCTGGCGGAAGGAGGGAGAGCAACGCCAGGTCCTGAGTGGTGGCTTTAGTGGGGAGAGGAGGTGAAAGGCCACCCATGTGACGGAAGCATGACCAGCCAGGGATAAGTGTGGGGTAAGGCAGTTTGGAGAGTTAGGCGGGGTCAAATCATGCTGCTGCTCTGGGGCATGGGAAATTTTATGAGAAATGGGAAGTCATGGAGGGTTTTTAGCAGTGGAGCAGCATGATGCTGTTTATATTTTTAAAAGTCACTCTAGCTGCTGTGTGAACAGCGGATTGAAGGGGATGAAGAGCAGAAGAAGACCAGTTCGGGGGCTATTGCAGTTGGGCTAGGATGGTGACAATGTGATAGAAGTAAACTGATTCCAGACATGTTTTGAAGGTAGGATGAACGGGGCTTGGTGATAAACTGGATGTGGGGATAGGATGGGGGTGGAGTAGGATGGCTTTCCTATTCCACTTGAGCAGCTGGAAGGATGGGGTATCTTTACTGAGGGGACTGAGAGTGAAGCAGATTTGGGGAAGAAAACGCAAGTTTTGGACTTGTGGTTTTATGCTCCTGTAGACCCCAACGACCACGGGTAGTAGATTTTGTCTGTACTCTTAGCATCTACCATAACACGTGACAGTTACTCAGCAGATACTTCTTCGTTTGAAGTAAAGTGTGGATCAGTTTCTTGGGGAGGGTGAGGGTTAATAAGGAGCAGCTTGCTTGTAGAATTTGAGTATTTCTGGGTGCTGTCTTCCTATCTTAAGTGTTTAATCTTCAGAAAAATCAGTCTTGGGCACTTTTTCTTCTCCTGGAAGGTGAGGATTCCAGAATGGTTTATAATGGCTTAGGCTCTGACCTCATTTCTTTAGCCATTCACTTATTTATTTGTTCAGCAAGTATTCATGGAACTTCTGTTCTATATCTAGTACTCTGTTAGGTCCCGAGGAAGTAACTGGAGACAGATTAACGTTTTGTGGTTTGCACTGTACAAGTCTTCGCACTACTTTTGTTACATTTATTCCTAAATATTTTATTCTTTTTGCTGCCAGTGTGAATGGATCCATCTCTCAACTTTCAGTTGTGCAACATCCCAGTTTTCCAGTTTTCTATGGGGTGTTTTAATGAGAATATTACACTGAGCCTCTACCCTCACAGAGCTTATAGGCTATCAGGCAAGGTATACTGGAAAAGTATCGTAGGTACCAATTTTATACTCTGTACAGGTATGATGGGCATGTACTTGATATTCAGTAGATACTTTTTGGCTTACTAATTAATTTACTGATCGAGATGGGAATTTGAGCTGGCTGTCCCTGAAAGTTTCAATAGGATTTAGACAGCTAGATAGATTAATCAAGTAAATTTATGGTCCTCCAGCCCTGTATCTTATCTTCGTATTGGGTTGACCAAAAAGTTCGTTCGGGTTTTTCTGTAACATTTTACGGATAGAACGTGGGAGAAAATGCAAGAGCAAAGGACTACTCTTTGTCTCCAAGCAGTACTGCTGCTCAGCTGGAAGATTATTCATCAGCCTTCAGGTCTGGAAGTTACTCTTGTTTCTCTTAGGCAGCTTTAGGGGCTATGGTACTGAGTAGGAATAGCCGCCTCACTGAATTACGGAAAGCAATTGGAGTTAGAATTATCATTCTCCCACGTTCTTTGCTTAAATGCCAATACAAACCTGAATTTTTAGTTCCAAAGTATTTATGGGTATGTACTAGAATTCTCAGTTCAAACCCTTCAGTAGAATAATAGTCTGTGTAGGAAATCAGGCATTATCTAGTTTTAAACTTTGAAATGTTTTGGCCACACAAATAGAGGTCTGTTTTCCTCATTTTCATTTTTTAAAATTGAAGTATAGTTAATTTACAATGTTGTGTTAGTGTCAAGTATACAGCAAAGTGATTCAGTAATATATACATACATATATATATATATATGTATATATATATAAAACTTTTCAGATTCTCTTACATTATAGGTTATTACAAGATACTGAGTATATAGTTCCCTGTACTATACGGTAGGTCCTTGTTGTTTAACTATTTTATATATAGTAGGGATATGTCTTGATCCCAAACTCCTAATTTATCTTCCGCCTTTCCCCAATCCCCTTTGGAAACCATAAGTCTGTTTTCTATGTCTGTGAGTCTATTTCTGTTTTGTAAATAAGTTCATTTGTATCACTTTTTTAGATTCTACATGTAAGTGATATATGATATTTGTCTTTCTCTGTCTGACTTACTTTACTTAGTATGACAATCTCTAGGTCCATCCATGTTGCTGCAAATGGCATTATTTCATTCTTTTTATGGCTGAATAGTATTCCATTGTATATATGTACCACATCTTATTTATCCATTCATCTGTCGATGGACATTTAGGTTGTTTCTATGTCTTGGCTATTGTGAATAGTGCTGCTATGAACATTGGGGTGCATGTATCTTTTCAAATTAGGGTTTTCTCCAGATATTTGCCCAGAAGTGGGATTGCAGGATCATATGGTAGGTCTATTTTTGGTTTTTAAAGGAACCTCACACTGTTCTCCATAGTGAACATTTTCATTTCGTAATGAGTACACAGTATCACAAGGGATTGTCTTATCTCTGCATTCTTGGCTTCTCCCTGCATCAACTTAAATATTTACTTTATATCATGGAAAATTTCAGACAATTACAAAAGTATAGAGAACAATAGCATGAACTCTCATATAACCATCACCCAGCTTTGACAATTGTAAACTTTTCCTCAACATCTCTAACTCAGTTTCTTTGGTGACAAAGTCCACAGTACTTTCTCCTCTTTCCGTGTGCTCTTATATTCTTTTATCTCCTAGAAAATGCATTTAGGTAAGAATTAAAAATGGAAGTATTGGACTTCCCTGGTGGCGCAGTGGTTAAGAGTCCGCCTGCCGATGCAGGCGACACGGGTTCGTGCCCCGGTCTGGGAGGATCCCACATGCCGCGGGGATGTGCCCGTAAGCCATGGCCGCTGAGCCTGCGCGTCCGGAGCAGAGAGGCCACAACAGTGAGAGGCCCGCATACCGCAAAAAAAAAAAAAAAAAAATAAGGAAGTATTGAATCACAGATTTCCTGATTTGCTATGATTTCTAATTAGCTATAACATTTTGTGTATTGTCATTGTCTTCAGCCATTGCAGAAGCACGAAGACTCATCTCCACAGAAGATGCGTGTGCGTGTGGAGCCACACTGGCATTCCAGGATAAGGTCAGCTCATATCTGCAGAGACTGAACACCAAGCATATCCTTTCTGGAAGGTTTTCTGCTTCTGCTTGAAGCCAGCCTAGGTACTACAATTGAGCTGACATTTTAGGACATTCCACAGGATAAGTGCCTTATTCATTAAGTTTTAAGATGAGCCATAGTAATACACAGCTTTAATTTTTTTACTTTAGAGTTCTTTTAAAATGTTTTAAGACCGTTACACCCATTCTTATTTACATGTAAGAGCTGTGTAATTATTTATTTTTCTAGTGCTTCTCCATAGCAGTATAAGCTCCTAATTGCGCTCTATTTGACAGTGCTATTACCCTGATTCCTTAGTATGACTTTCTTATTCAGAATCTGTACATGTACAAAACGAGTCAGCTGATGAACGGAGTGTGATAGTTCAGACGACACACAGCTGTGTGCTTTGTCTAGCCAAGTGGTCAAAAAGCAGATTTCAAAACATAACACGGTACTACCTCAGAAACTTTCAAAATCAGTTTTTTAGCCAAAGGAGTAATTCAGGAAAAGTACTTTTTCTTAGCGTAGTTCAAGTTAACAACACCTTTCCTAGGGATCTTAGAGGCATGGTATTCAGACTGTGATAGGGATACCCTAGGGGTATGCAGAGACTTTCCAGGGGTATGTGGGGACACAGAAAATTTTAAAGGAATCAATTTCCAAATCCTTCACTTCCTTAAATCGATCTGCCTACAATGCAACTTGGGGTCAGTTGGCATTCTCTTTTCCCATCTCTCACTTCAGTGTCACCATTCTCTTAAATTTATACAAGAAAGGCATACCTCTTACTTACCCTGAACTTTACTAAGGTGAATTTCTTGGAAAGGTAAACTCTCCAGAGAGCTTTTAAATTAAGCCTTCATAAACACATCTCCCCCAATTCATCCCATTAGGAGATACCTTTCTAATTACAATTCACCTTTTATTTTTAATGATTTTATGTCAAAATTGTGACTTATTCGTTGTTTGGATCAATTGTGTCCCCATAATAGTTGTAATGGTAGCTCAACTGAGACGATTAAAAAAACTTAGCACCTTATGGTCAAAGAAAATTAATTCAAAGGTAATTTCAATATAAATGTGTATGTGCTTGTTGTTTGTATTAAGTTTACATCAGAGAAGTATAATAGAGTGATAAAGAACAGATTTCCAAGATTCAAAGTAAAATAAAATTGTGGAGGAAGTAGAAAGGAAATACAAATTCAAGGAAATATTTTATTTTAGAAGAACAACAGTAGTAACAATTCAGTATGGTATTAATATTACATGGGATACATTTAAAAGACTGACTTAAATTTTGTTTTAAAGCATCAATATTTATAATATAGCAGAAATTGCATATTTGCAACTAAAACTTATGATGAAAATTTTCATGTAATCTAAATATGCACAAGATTCACTTATTTGTCAAAATTATTTTAGGGGACATATGAACAAAAAAATGTTTGAAGACCACCGCTTTATATTATGCTCGCTAAAGAACAGAATATCTGAGTTTTAGATAGATTTTTGGTGAGAAAACAATTTCACTCTTTTTGTTCAAAATAGAACTTAAATATATATATATATATATATATATAAAATCTTGTATTGAAGTGTTTAAAAGTGTGTTTGCATTTTCTAATGTCTAAAAATATACGGTGTTAGCCTTAACAACTTAGCCACTTGATGACATTTTGGAGAAGTTGCAAGCAAATGAATATGGACAAATACATCGTTAAATTCCTCAAATTTTTTACCTGGAAATATGAAGCATTTGGTGTATTTAATACTTTGGCATACTCCAGTGTTCCTGCTAGTAATCTGCCATTACCAATGCTTTAATGTTACTGGATAAGTAGTATGAGGATCTTCTGGAGAGTCTGTATCATTTTTCTAAGGAAATAAATGTCCCTTATTCAGAGCAAATTTTAGTGTCTCTAAGCTATGACTGTGAAATGGTAGGAAACAGAGTGAAAAGTTTCATAATTTCTTTCTTTCTTTACTAATTGAGCCATTTAATTTTCTAATGTCTATATTAGTAAGATAACCAGGCTTAAAATGCGAACGTTTGATCTGTTTTCTTGATAGTATTTATAGTGTAAACCAGTCTTGTTACTTTAGAGTGTAAATTGTACAGGGTATTTACACATAAAAAGTTCATATAATTGGAGATGAATACAATTTAGAACTATATCTTCATCACTTTTTGTTTTTTTCTCATTTTTGCCAGAGTATTGTTGAAGCTGTGATCAGGAGATTGTAATACACATACTTAAGTATAGTTAATACAGATTAAGTGAACTGTTATATGTCATTTTCAATTCATTCTGATGTTAGAAAGAAACACACAACTAGTTGTGAATTAAGTGTTAAACTTTTTACCAAGGACAAAAAACCCTAAATTTACTTTACTGTTTTACTCTAGGATCCAGTCAATAAAATTATATATTTATAAATACTGGTATAATAAGTAACAAAACCTAATGTCTTTTAAAATGTTAATGATAAGCCTAACTCTTTTTTTTCACTTACATATTTGATAAATTTTTTTTCCACTTTTATGCTTATAACTTTTAGAAAAAAATAGTTCTTTAAATTGTATACTACTCATTCTTTTCTTGGTTTATGTTGTGTTTAGTATAATAAAAATGTCAATATCTTTATATATTATTGTCATGCTTTTTTTTGGTAACTCTTATATCAACTTTGCCTATTAACATATTTTCTTAAATTAAGCTGAATTACAATTATTTTGAATGAAACAGTTTCTTGTCAAAGGACACAACACTGTGACTCCTCCTATAATTTAATCTCATGCTCTTAAAATTAAAAATTTAAGCTCGGGTTAAACAGAAAGGCTTTAATCAAGATTGTTGTGGGAGAGGGAATAAAACAAAATTACATAAATTCAGATAAAATAATGATGAGGGTACATTAATATATGCACTTGAAAAGAAAATATAACCTACAGATGCAAACCCAGAAACAGTAAAAAATCTAAAATATAAACTGTAAAGGGAAGACATGAAAAATGAACACATCAAAGGCAGTAAATATTATATGAAACATTTATTGTTATTGCTCAACATTTTTGAAAGCACCTGACATAGAGCAAGTATTATTTTCCAAACTTATTTGAGCACAAATCAGTTATATTAATATATCACAAAGAAATGGTGTTACAGGAGGAATAAATGAGAGCTCATGTGCAAGAACTAGGGAAAGGTATTTAAAGAGAGACAAATTTTCAAGAGTGTGACCATCAATAGCTTGAACTAATCATGTCTTAAGCTTAACCAGTTGACTGGAATCCCCTGGCTTAGATAATTGATTTTTTTCTTGAGTCCAGTATAGGGAGCCCGTGATCCGGTGCCAACAAACATATCTTAGGGATGTAGTTGGTGCTGAAAAAGATACACATTCATTTGAAAACGAACAAATTATCTGAATGGGATCGGGCTTAAGTTTGGGAAGGATTTCTCAGGGAGACCTGATGTGTGCGTTTGGCTAGGCGCAATTGGCCAAGGAAGCAGGAACATCATAGGATATATAAAATGACCTTGGAAGCACACAGGAATAGTGGGATTAAGAAAAGCATACTGGCTTGCTTAAAGTGGGGGCACCAAAGTAAAAACATTTTAAGACCGAAGGAAGATCTGATTTTAGCTTGGGTTTAGATTTAATAGGAAAGGCTAGTACCACTGTCAGTTTTCGAGTATGCTGGGTGAGGCAAGAGACTTGGGTCAAAGGATTTGAACGTTATTTGCCTGAGATGGGGAAAGACTCTAGGTGGGGAAATTAGCTACCGTTGCATAAAGTACACACTAGATTATACAAATCAACAGGCGTAGCCGCAAATATGGTAAAAGGTAAAACCAGAGACAAATTAAAAAAACAGATGAGACTGAATAATTTCATAGGAGTTTCTGCGCTATGTCTAAAATTGTGGTGGTGTGTAACTCTCCAAGCATTCAGAAAGGACAAGGAGAATTGAAGAAAGAAATAAGGTAGAAAAAGAATACAGTGGACCACAGGCAAGAAAATACTAAACACCTCAAGTACTTAAAAATGGGAGGCTATGCCCCAATGGCAATTATATTCTGTAACAGCCCACAGATCACACATATTTTTTTCTTTTTAAAAATTAAAAAAAAAATTGAAGTGTAGGTAATTTACAATGTTGTGTTAGTTTCAAGTGTTCACACTTATTCTTTTTATAAGGACCCTTGGGCTGCAGTAACAGCTTAGACAAGTTGTTAAAAAGTACTAAAACAAACAGAATTAACAAAATCTCCTACCCCCAAATTGCTCCAGGGGGCTCTCCCATCCCCAACGGCACAAAGGAAGGTTTGCACGCTCGGAAAATGCACGTTTGTACCTTCATTTGGCCAACGGCGCCAGTCTACCAAATACAGTAAATAACTTTTTCCTTTCACAATATTGGGACTTCGGGGCTTACAGAACACCTCATCTTTACGACCTCATTTTAATGGGCGCCCTTACTGACTTGGTACTGACACCTCAGTCGAGTTCCGCCGCGACCATCCGAGGTGTGGCCGGTCCTCGAAGCCCGCCCAGTCGGAGGGCAGCTGAGGCTACGAGCCAGGGCGCCGGGCAGAAAAGCCCAGAAGCAGAGCGACCAGGTCCTAACCGCGACAGCGGGTCTACCAGCCCCGCGACGTCCGCGCAGGCGTACGACGCCCGGCGAGACGAGGACGACGCCGGAAGTGTCCCTCGGCGCCCCGGATGCGACCCAGCGGCGGCGGTTGCCAGGGCGACCGGAGCTTCCAAGAGCCGCGGGTACTAGCGATTGGCGGCTTAGAAGAAGTTTCCTGTGTCGGGCTTTATCTGCTGTCGTCGTCCTCTCGGGGTTCCCAGAATGTTCTTTTACTTGAGCAAGAAAGTGAGTTTCCCGGGGTTCGCCCTCGCTCCTCCTCTGGTCTCTCGACCTGCGGGCGATTCCCGCATCCTGCCGGAAGGGCCATGAGTGGTGATCCCGGCTTCGACGTCCCTCCGCCCACCTTCCTGCATGGTCCAGCCTCGAACCTCCTTCTGATGGTCTCCAAGACCCAAATAATCCTTGGCGGAGACAGCAGCCCTCTCGCATGATTCTTTCCCATTCCTGCCCCTGGTTAGGTCCTTTTGGGGGGCCTGCAGGGCTGATCACTTCGTGCTTCCCTATCTTTCCTCCTTCACCTGTTGCTTATCCAGGTGATTTAAACTCTTTGGATCATCACAGGCCTCTGGGCAGGAGAAAAGTAATAAAAAGGTAGCCAAAGTGTATGCAGAAAGGGAATATTAATTGATGATAATAGATTTATACTTCCGTTATCCCTACCCCCTTTTATTTATTTTTTTAAAAAATATTTATTTATTTATTTGGCTGCACAGGGTCTCAGTTGCAGCACGCGGGATCTTCATTGATGCCTGTGGGATCTTTTGGTTGCGGCATGCGGGATCTTTAGTGTGGCATATGGGATCTAGTTCCTTGTCCAGGGATTGAACTCAGGCCCCCTGAATTGGGAGCGGGGAGTCTTAACCACTGGATCACCAGGGAATTCCCCTCCCCCCTTTTAAAAAATCCATCAGGTCACTCCCCATTGGGTTCCTTTGCAGTCACTGCCCTTCTCTTTGTGGGCAGTCCTTTCTTTCTTTCCCAAATGGGCCCAGGGCAGTTCAGGGGACTATGCTCATTTTCATAACGGCTCACATTTCTGCAAGGCTGGCCATTTTTCTTCTTCAGGCTTCGTGTCCTGTAGACTCATTACCAACCCCTTGGTGAAAAGCTGTGAGAGTGGGTGTGGTTGCTTTTCAGATTGCCATTCCCAATAATGTGAAGCTGAAATGTATATCTTGGAACAAGGACCAAGGATTCATAGCATGTGGTGGTGAAGATGGATTACTGAAGGTTTTGAAATTAGAGACACAGACAGGTAAATGAATGCAAGCCCAAATGTTTGAACTTGATGGAAAATCATTTGGTCAGAGAGATTTGCCCATGGTATTTGTCAGTATGCAATTCTAATTCTTTCAAAAGGAAAAAGAACAAAACCCCAAACATTTTGGGGTGTTCTTCTAGAGTATTTTTGTAACAAAGTTCAGAAAATATTGAATGTAAACATCAGATGGCTTTTGCTGAAATTATTGATGGCAAATGAAAATGAATGAAGAATGAAAACTAAGTCATTATGTTGTTTTATGCTATGTGTATTGGTTGTGCTATATAAATAGGAGTCTAAAATAAATAAAATAAAATAAAAATGATGTGAATCAGCATTTCAGTAAGGTCACAAAAATCTCACGTTTTGGTAGATTATTTACAGGCCTATGTTGTCCTTTCCACTTTTCAGATGTGTTAATAATTATGCACCTGGTTCCCAAGAACAGAAAATGGGATTAAAAAAACCATTTTTAGTAATAAGTCTCTTGTGTTTTATAGCTTGATTTCTCTTTTTGTAGTTCTCTGGAATCATAGCAAACAGTTTCACATTTTTTTATTATCTAATATTGCTCTAGGTCAGAGAGCTAGACAATTTCCAGTCTAAATTGGAGATTTAGATAAGGAGATTGGAGTTGGAACCTCAGCTCTGCCATAAGACTTCTGAATGTCTTTCAGCAAGTTGCTGAGTATATCTGGGTTTTAAGTTCAGTCTTTTGTAAAATGAAGGGTTGAACTAAATTACATTTTGGATTCCTTACAGCATTGCTTCTCAAGCTTTATCAGGCATAGGAATCATCTGAAGAGTTTGTTGAAACAGATTTCTGGAC